GATCAAAATGTTAAACGGTTATATTAGGCACGAAATATCGTTGGTAAAGAGATATCATTTTTACTAACGGATAATCTGTTTCTAATTACCAACGGAATGTCCGTAGGTAAAAGATCAAAATGTTAAACGATTATATTAGGCACGAAATATCCGTTGGTAAAGAGATATTATCTTTACCAACGAATAATCCGTTTCTAATTACCAACGGATGCAATCCATTGGTAATACTCAGTACATCACCTATGGAATATTCGTTGGAGGAAGATCCAAATGTTAAACGATTACATTAGGCACGGAAAATCAGTTGATAAAGAGATATCATCTTTACCAACGAAAAATTCGTTGCTAATTATCGTAGCTAAAAGTAAATTACTTTCACCAACGGATACAATCCGTTGGTAATTTTTCGTAGGTGAAAAGCTATTTTTTAGTAGTGAAAGTGAAGTGAGAAAATTTTGTCAAATATATCGTGCACCTTTAAAGAAAGGTGGGAAAGAGATTGCTTGCGTGCCTAAATAATAAAATAAAATTCATTAAACAATCGATTATCGAATCTATATACTTTGTTGTGGGGTTTTCTTTTCATTTTTGCGCAGTAAATAATTTATGAAACTGGACTTGTCAACCAAATTGACTTACCTTATAGGTTGATGTTACACTTACCAAATCTCATTTTTTGCAATTTATTTTAGTTTTTCTATCACTTTTAATTTACCTTTTTGATTTAAATAAGAACATAAAAGAGTAAGAGGAAATTTCATTAGAAAGACCAAAGTAGTGAAAACAAATTAAAAATAATCTCTTTTTTTTTATAAGTTTTTTCTTAAGGAGACATTAGTGAGAAACAAAGGGTATAAAAATAGATAGTGCAAGGTTCAAGTTAACTTGATTCAATTAATCTTGACAATTATATTTTTAATAAGAGTATGCTCGAGATTTTTCGCTAGGTCAAGTACGATAAGGAATATTTACATTAGGAACCCTCAACCTTTTCTGAATAATAAGTATTTAACGTGTGTTTGACAACCTTTATTTTGCTAAACAACAATTTTTTGTACAGTAAACATGCCGGATTATCAAACATAGGTCATATCAATTTTAAATTATGAGGTAATACGGTACTTAATTTTGAATCCAAAATTTTTGCTATTCCAAAACTACCCTCCAATTTCAATAGAAAAGGGCATCCAAAAGGGCAAAGTAGTAAAATGGAATTGTGTCATTGAGAACATAATTGGAAAATCAATTTCCTGGCCAATCATCAATGCATTGAATGGAGTAATTATCGGTCAGATGGTGTAGAATTTTTTTCAAATTACATTATTCAAGAAAGTAAAAACTCTTTAAATTTTTTTTTTTTTTTTTTTTTTTAGTAAAATCCAGTGCCATCTAATTGTATTGAAATGCTCAAATAGTTGAAGGTACACAAAGATTACCAAAACAAAAACGCTAGTATAACATTCAGCTCTTATAAATAGATCCTAACAATCAATGAAGACTTTTTTTGAGCCACCAATGTCTTTTAACTCTTTTAAGCAATTTCTGAACGCACTTCAAATGTTGCTAGGGTACATGAAAACGCGAACGCGGGCGCCCATGGATTTTGGTGGGAGGTTGGACTTGAACTTAGCCCTGACGACGCCACTGTTACCATGTGGGCGAATTACCTTGCCCCAAATGCACCTATAATGGGTTCCATTCTGCTTCACCTTGGCCTTGTAGATGTAAGCCATCCGCTTCCCCTGGTACCACGCCACCTCTTCCTTGCTGTTCACTCCCTCGAACCAATACTAAAATTAGCCACATAGGTCTCTACTCAATAGATCGATGTTACGTGAGAGTCACATGATCTCTTTATTTAGGAGTACTTGTTGCGATCACATATTCTCCGAAATCAAGAAAAAAATAAAAGAACACAATCAAACATTATCTTAGCCTTATGATCCACCACCCAATGCCTAGTCTCTAAACTCTCCTCTCTCGATAAGGTGAAGCAAGAAAAATAAAACAAAAAAATATAATAAAACAATCATTTTCTGTAATAACATACAAAGATCATGCGCAAGAAGATGCAAGTGACGATAGGGGATGGTGGTTAATTTGTTTTTTTTATTTTGCTTAAAGGAATAGGTGGTTGGAGACGAACTAATTATCTTGGAATTCCCCAACTTATGATTCGTAAAGGATCAAAGAAGATGTACAGGTCTGGGGCATGGAATGGACAACGTTTTAAAGGCTTTGGTATGTTAGCTAACCAAGGTTACTGATATAACTTTGTTTGGAACAACGAAGAGTTGTATTTCATGTATGAGATGTGATAATCTCTAAAATGGTATTGAATCAATCTGGAATGATACAACTCTCAGTATAGAATGAAGGAGACACTGATTGGATCAATGTGTTCACAGTACAATATGACTTATGTGATACGTACGGACGGTGTGGCCCTAATGGCATTTGCAGGATCAGTAAGATCCCAATTTGTGAGTGCTTGGAGGGATTTTATTCCAATATCATAGAGAGAATGGGATGGGCTTAATTGGACGAGCGGATGCATTAGGAGGACTCCAACAAATTGCGAGAAAGGAGATTGGTTTAGGAGGCTTGGAAATGTGAAATTGCCAGACCTTAAAATGTCGCTTAGCCCCCATTTGATTCTCATTTTTATAAGAACGAAAATAAAAAAATAGTCGTTATGGAATCCACACAAGAGAGGAAATCAAATTGGTGGCTTGATGTGATGGATAATAGTCATTTTTTTCATTTTTTTGGCCAAAGAATGGGAAACAAACGGGAACTTAATAAAAGCATGAGCCTCAAGAATTGTAGGAGAGAATGCTTCAAGAATTGTTCTTGCACGGCTTTTTCAAGTTCAGATATTGGTAGAGATGATAAAACTTGTTTCATTTGGTTAGGCAATGTGATTGATCTTAGAGAACTTGATATAAAAAGACAGTTAGCAAGATATCTACTTTCGCATGGTTGCTTCAGAACAAGGTAGATATGAAATTAATCATCTATATTATTATTTTTAATGAATTGAATAGAACCAGTCAATTTACTAAGCATTACTTATTGATCTTTCTTTCAAATATGTATTAAGTTGTTGTGTGTGTGAGCTCAATTGTTGTTGTTATTGTTGTTGCTGCATCAGATTCAGATCAAATTAAAAAGAAAAAATAGACAAGTAATGATTGAAGTATTATTGATAGCTAGCGGGATGCTTTTCCTAGGTTCATCTGCTTGGTGTGCATTGCACAAGAGAAAAAGAAGGAAGTAAAAAGTAAACATTTCAAAAAATCTTAATTGAATAAATTACAATATTTTTTATGATAGGTTTGATAGGGAGTATTTGATAGCATATAACATTACCTACTAAAGAACAAAAGAAGCTAAAATCATGTGCATTACTTTTGAATCCTATTGAGTACTATGTATCAAACATTCGCTTAGAGCCGTCCAATGCTATTGGGGCACATGTTCTAAGGGGACAAATTATGAACTTCTTTTCGTGTTTGCTAGTGATGAAACACCCACGTATCAACAAGTATTCCCATTGACTTAAGCCATCTTTCGCTGATTCAATGACTATTGAGAATGAGATAGTATTACCATTGTTTGACATGGCAACTATTGCTATTGCTATTAACAACTTTTCATGCTATAACATGATTGGAAAGGGTGGTTTTGGACCTGTTTACAACGTATGAAGGCATCAATGAAAATTCTTTTTTGCTTACAAGTAAATGGCATCGTTAAGACATTTTTCAATTTCAAAAAAAGCATTGCATGGGAAGCTATCATGGGGACAAGAAATAGCAGTGAAGAGGCTTTCACAAAGTTCTAGGCAAGACCTATAAGAGTTCAAAAATGAAGTTATTTTGATTGCCAAACTTCAACACTGAAATCTTGTCGGGCTACTCGGGTTTTGCGTTGAAGGAAAAGAAAGGATGCTTATCTACGAGTATATGCCTAACAAGAGCTTAGACTATTTCATAGTTGGTATGATTATAAAATAGATAATGGCAAGATCTCATTTTACATACTTCAACTACATTAAATTTAGCTTAATAAAATGTGCAGAAGAAAGCATAAAAAAGTTGCTTACATGGGAAAATCGCTTTGAAATTTCCATGGGAATATCGAGAGGGCTTCTTTATCTTCACCAGGATTTTAGATTAAGGATTGTACATAGGGACCTCAAATCCAGCAATATATTACTGGACAGTGACTTGAACGCCAGAATTTCTGACTTTGGACTTGCAAGAAGTGTTGGGGGATACCAATATGAAGCAAAAACAAGAAGAATAATTGAAACATTGTAAGATCTGTCAGTTATTTTTTTTTTCCTCTTGCATTTCATCATGCTTTTATTATGGTTCAACATATCATGATTCGTTGTAATGGCTCTATGTCCCCTGAATATGTTGTTGATGTGAAATTCTCAACAAAGTTAGATGTTTTCAGCCTTGAGTGCTCTTACTGGAGATTGTAAGTGGTGCAAAAAACAGGAAATTTAGTCATTTAGATCACCATCATAATCTTTTGGGACATGTAAGTCCATATAATAGTAAACTCTTTTTCCTCTTTTTTTTGTCAACTTATCATAATTTCATGATGTTGTTCCTGGATTAAAGCATGGCTACTGTGGAATGAAGGCAAGGCCATGGAAATAATTGATGACTGTCTGAAGCAATCCTATGACAAGTCTCAAGTTTTGAGATGTATTCATGCTGGTCTATTGTGACACGACCCGTCCCGATCACCCTAATGGATCCGACACGTGTCATGCGCCGATGGTAGATACCAGCTAAATGTCAGACCCACCACCAAGGCAAACTTGACATGCTTTGACTGTAATAATTTTATAAAAATTTCGACAGAGTTTCCTCTGAAAAATGGACTAAAACCACCTGAGAATAAAACCAAAAATCCCAAACCTATACACATACTTTAAAATAGGGTATACTAGCCCATCAAAATACTGATTCTTCAAGGAGTTGTACTGAAAAAGAAATTTACCATTTCAAAACATACACAAAATATGCAATGGGTATGAGACCTAATACATTTTTGATACAAAATACATTAACCCCCAAAATATATGTTGTATGAATTAACAAAATGAGACATACAAATAAGGACACGATGAAGCTCAACTCGTCGAACAACAGGCTCTGATATGGCTCAACGCAGCTTCTATCTGATAAGAAATGAGGTGACAAAAATATGAGCTTGCGACTCAGTAAGTGGATATTTGTAAAAGTTATACTTTAACATTTATAACACCTTTCTAAATACTAGTATATAGTAAAAATTTCCTTTCACAATACGTTAAATTAAAATCTTCATTCTTTCAACTGAATCAACTAAATACTGTAAAATCTATTTCTAAAATCTGATAAGCTATGTAATACTGGAACATCACACCAAAAATGTACCCTGAATAACCATACTCGTGTATCGATTAATCTCGATATACATAGCAAGGTCATTAAATTCTGAAATTCTGTAATTCTGAAATTCTGGTCATACGTGCGCAGAGCTATAAAATGGTCGTACACTATGGAAACACATTCACAATAGTGCAGAGCGGGTAAAATCACTATACTGATCATACGCTGTGGAAACACATTCACACTAGCGCAGAGTGGGTAAAATAACCATATGAAGTCATACACTGTGGAAACACATTCACACCAGTGCAGACGAGGGTAAAATCACTTGGGTACTTTCCGATGATTTTAAAATAACTTTGAATATACTGAAATATTTAATACTGAAATAATATGTCAATGAAAGAATTTAACTGAACTGAATTTAACTTTTAAAAACATTTGATAATAAAATTCGTTTTATTTTGAAAAATCATGCTATCAACTCAACTTATAAAATACGTAACTTCAAAATTAAATAAATACTTATTTCTAAAAATAAATAAATTTATCCACTCACATAACACAAGCTGAACCTAAACTGGTCGATATGCTCTTCCAACTTCCTCGTCACCACCTGGAATACATAACAAGATGGCTAATCAACTACTATTAAATTAAGAAACTTTAAAATTTACTTCTATAATACTTAACCAAAATTGGTCGATGCTCGAATGAATTCCCAAATATTCTTTTGATCAATGGAGCTAATCCCACTTTGTAATCCCTTTTCTAATAACTAATTCATCAACAAAACCTTATTCCCAAGTTAAAATTAATTTTACTTTCCAATTTAATGAAACTAGTGACCATAATTTCCACCCATCTAATATACATTTGCTCCTTAAAATCAACTCCCAAATGAAATATTCCATTTATATAATCACTTCCACAATTAATTAATTAAAATCCCCAAAATCGGATTCTAGGGTTTCCAAAATTTTCATTGCCTAAACACCTTGTTAAAACTGAAACATAATTAATCCCTAAGCTTGAGCTCCAAATCGTACATATATCACATAAATTTAACATTTTATTATTACATGATAAAACCCTAAAAATTTTAATATAAACCTTACTTAATCATCTAAGACAAATGGAAAAATTTAACCCAACTTGAAGATATCAACCTTACCTCCTTTCCTTTTCTTTTTCCCCTTCTTCTTCCTTTTTCTTTTCCTTTTTTCCCTTTTTCTTTTCCTCTTTTTCTCTTCTTTCTCGGCCGGTTCTGCTTCTCGTAGTGTGTGTGTGTGTTTTGGTGTGAAAATGAGAAAAAAAATGGGTCAAAGGTTGAATTAATTTGTCCACAATCCCATAATTGCAAATTAAGTCCCTTAACTTTACTTTTTAGTAACCTTTAATCCTTAAACTTCCAAAAGTGTATATATAAATTTCAAACTTTTAAATATATCCAATTCAACCTTCATATTTTGTCAATTGCAAAATAAACCCAAATAAAATGATTTGGTCAATCAAGTCCCAATAAAAATGATTTATTTCATACAAGTCCTCATTGGACTTGACTTTGAAAATTTCACTATTGACTTTGACTAGATAAAATTGTGGGTTGTAACATATTGTGTCTCCAGAAACTGTCGGAAGACAGACCAACAATGGCATCTGTAGTTTTCACTTTTCATGCTGGGAAATGTAGGCGTAACATTGCCTCAGCCGAAGAAACCTGGATTTTTCATTGAAAGGAGTTCAAATGAAACTGATGTGTTTCTTGACGGGAGTTGCCTCTCTGAAAATTCTATGACAGTAACAATGCTTGCTGCCCTATAACAAAAGTTTGCATGCTGTAATACTAATGATTTTTTTTATAATTTATTAGAAACACCAGCAACATACACCTAGACACAATGTGGGGTTAGGATTCCCCTTTCCATGATTTATTGATTGAAGTAAAGTACGATCAAGGGGACATTTCGCAGAAGTTTGCATGTTAAAACACTAATGGCAAAATGTCTTTATGGTAAGTTTGCTGCATAATCTTTTTTTGGCTCTAGTTGGAAGAGGTTTTCCTTAAATTCTTTTGGATGAAATTCCACCTTTTTATATCTTGCTTGGTTTCTGTACATAGAGTTTTGCAAAAGCTAGATATTAAAAACAGCATTGCTTTTTAGATCGAAAGGCCTAGCAGCTATCACATGAAAAAAGATCGACATTTCAGTCTTTAGATAAATATCTTTATATTCGCTCCATGCATTGATCACTTAAGTTCAAAAATTTGCTATTCTACTACTTTGTCTAAACAATTATGGTAAACCCCGACTTAAGCATCATGATGCAATCAGTGTTATATGGGTTATCCAGCCCATGAGGAAAAAGCCCAATCCTCCTTATTTTAGGTCAACAAAAGTGACCACATATATAAATTCTCCAAAAACATAGCTGTGAGATGTGAGAGAGAGAGAGAGAGATAAAAATCTGTGGCTTTCAATTGCATGAGAAAAATACGAAGGCAACCATTAGAAAAGTCAAAAATTGTGGCTACAATTGGAGGAAAAAATGTCATAGCTATTGGAGAAGAATTAAAAGAAGAGAATGATTTTTTTTTTCTTTCAATTTGGGTGTATACACAGGTTATTTTTCTTCTCTACATAATACAAATTGAGATTTTCTTTAAGTTGTATTTTTGGTACTTCATAGGTGCAGTATTTAAAGTGAATTCTCACAAAATTGATAAAATTGTTGATTTGTGGAGAGATTATTTAGGCCCTGTTTGATTAACCTACATTTTTCATGGAACTAAAAATTGGTTTTCCAACTTCCACTTTTGCACTTGTTTGATAACATTTTTTTCCCTAGAATTCATTTTCTTGCTTTCCTTGCCACCTCAACTAAATTAATGTAGTGAAAAAAAAAAAAAAAATTTGGCAATGGAAACAAATTTTAAGAATTATTGTAAAAATATATTTTCCTTTAATTGGCAATTCCCATGTAAAACAAAGTCAAACGAACACCAAATGATAAATGATTTTTTTGAATTATTTATTTATTTAGCAATAGAAAAAATTTCATCTTCAATACCAATAAAATATATCTCTTTAATTGACAATTTTCATATAAAATAAAGTCAGACGAACACCAAAAATACTTTTATTTCATTATTTTTCACATGAAAAATTATCTTTTATCAAATACAATAATTTACAATTTTCAGGAAAACAATTTCTAAGCAATTCAATTCCCTGGAATTCATTTTCTTTCCATCCAAATTTCATATTTGTAATCAAATGGATCCTTGTTGTCTTAAAGATTAATTATTGTGGTATTCCAATTTGTAAAGAATTCAAGTTTTGGGGCATAAATTTGAATATTGTAATCTATATATATTTTTATTATAATGGATTTTGGCCGGAGTTGTCCTGTAATTTTTTCCCCTCATTTCCACATAAAAATTTGGCGTTGTGTTTGCTTCTTTTTTCTTTGATTATTTACTTACATATTTAATCACTCTAGTTAGTTGCTTGAATTGATGAATTATTCTTGCAATGTAACGCCCCGAGTTCTGGCAACCTGAAACGTTACGAAACATGAATTTATTAAAGTGCTTGAAACAATAATTTTAATATACCAAGAAATTCAGTAAAAATTGAACAACCTTTAACAAAAGATAAATTAAAATTTAATAAGATATGCAGAACGTTTTGAAATCATATCTTTCATCAAACATGAATAAAACTAGTTCCAACAAACAATAGAAGTAGGACTGTATTAAAAATTTAACGTCACTCATAAATGAATCTAAAAACAAAACTAATAATAACATGTTAAAATTATAATATTCTTAAAATTAAAGTATTTCATGACGTAGATCCGTTGGTCCAATAGCACATCCATCCACCGCCGTCCAGCATACTAATTTTTATCTAAAATTTGTAAATAAAGAGGGATGAGTATAACGAATTATATAATGAGATGCTTGCTACTCCACAATCAAATCAAACATGAAATTATACATAAATTCTTTTACCAACGTAACATGAGAATTATCACACCATGACAAATGATAATTCAAGCAAGCACTGTAAAATAACGTGAAGGCTAACTTGTGCCTTAAATGTATCATTATTTCTCTTCAAGGAGTCCTGAATTAAAGTAATTAAATTCATACATAACAACATATTTGAAAGAATGTGAAAAAATCACTAATAGCACTGAGCATCTCACCTTACGTAATGAATCTTGTATTATATTCACTTGGAAAGCAAATTGTGGGGAAACTGTTTTTCTGAAATTTTCTCTTGGCAGTTCGTGAAATTGAATGGAGGGTGAGAATGGATACGTACAAACGTGAGTCATAGAACGCTTAAGGTTTAGTGCTATATATATGGTAAACTAAAGCAGGGCGTAACTGTAGTATATTCTCGTAGGTCTTATTACAGAAGTGAAATTTCGTTAAAGTTCAAGTCCTCAATTTCTGTCCAAGCACTCTTCCCAGAAATTAGTTTAGAGTCCTAGCTGATATAATTTGTTTGGAGGTTTTCTATTAGGTTTTGGTAAGAGACATTATGACTACTTATCCCGTGCACACGTGAGGATAGAATAAATTGCATGCATTAAATATATTTTATTTTAATACAAACAAAAAAACTTAAATAAATAATTAATTTATCTCCTACCTTTGATTAAATCAAAATAAATGGCAGAAAGTTTCCATGCCAATCTATACGACTTAACTAGTTTAATTAATTAGAGTCCTAATTATTCTAATACTAAAATTATTGGAAGACTTTATCATAATTCAAATCTTACATGATTAAGGATTACATAAGAACTTAATAGTTTCAGTAAAACTATGATTTCGTTTTTAATTAATTATCTCTTAATAAAATATTATAATTATCAACACTTAACTTATTCAATTCCTAATGGCCGAAAATGAACTGTATGCTTACTAATTAATTAGAATTTCATATATACCCTTGATTCTTCTATTGATTCTATCTTAATTCAACTTATCCAAAATATCCCTTTTTAAATCCTAATATATATAATTAATTATTATCTATCAAATGAGTCCAATATTGATATAATAATTTAGTCCGAAATGATAACTAATATTATTAACTAAGTAGTTTTCTTAATTGACTATAACTCGAGTTTAACTTGGCAAAATTAAATTTTTCTTGAGTCCATAATTCGCCATTTATTACTAGCTTCAAAATGAGCCCAATATTGATATGGTAATTCTAACTCATTCAATAGTTAACTATTTGGCTCATTTAATAAAAGTATAAAATCTGTAACTTATTTTCACTTTGGTCCCCTAACTATAAAGATATCCATATAGACCCAATTAACCATAGAGATTACCAATTAACTTGCATAGGGAATTCATTGAACACTGCATTCCTATTTTAAAAGGCAAATAAATTGTATGCAAACTAACTAAAAAATTTCGGAATTCTACAATAAGTGAAATTGCCCAACAATCAGCCGCCTTGTATCCTACAGTAGCTAATCAAATTAATAGTTTTATTTTGTTCATACGACTACAGACATAATTAAAGATAGTATGCCAGGGATAAAATGAAGAAATTTAAATGTTGCATCAATTTGGTCTTTTTTGTAAGCTACAATAAGAAAATGCTATTTACGCCTTATCAAGTGACAAAAAATTTAACAGTTCATCAATTTTGTGCTGCAGCCGCTATAAGTCTTTGACAGAAGGCTAATTAGTCAAATTCAATGCGCACACTTGTTGGTTTAGAAAGTCATTAAAAGACTTAAACTCCAATTCTTATTCTGTATGTACAGATACAGACATTTTACCGGCCACACACAGCTCATTTTTTGGCACTATTTTATTTCACATGAGACCCTTTCAGAGGCTTCTGTCAAAAAATTTCTGTACAACTAGACTCTTGTTGGAAGGAATCCATTGTGCATTGTGAGCTGCTCATGAAAGGGTAGCAGACTCTCAAATAGGAAGGAATTAATTAGCTTCTATTCAAATCTTGGAGGTTGCACCAGACTTTGCTTTCAATTTATCAGGCCAGGGGTACTTTTAAGTTTGGGCATGTCAAGTAGGCATTTTTTCACTTTAACCAAAAAGTTTTGCCAATCATCAAAATGGTCTTTTGTTGAGTAAAAGACAAAAATGTCCTTAAATAGTTTATACAATTACAAAGATAAAATTTTGTTTAAAAAGATAAAAATACCCTTAAGTTACAAATTAAAAAACCAAACACTTTTCACTTTATATTTAATTATTTATTCTAAATAATTACTCAAATAAAAAATTAATATTTAATTACTTTCTTGTTTAAATATTTCATTAATTAATTATCTTAATTGGTTATGCATATTATTTATTTAATATTTAATTACTTTATTTAATTATTTATTTAATCACTTGTTCAATAAAAAATTAATATTTGATTTGATTTCTCATTTAAGTAATTCATTAATTAATTATCTTAATTGATTATGTATATTTAATTAATTATTTATTTATTTATTTTA